TGACATATCAATCGTCACTCTACTTCCTCACCTAAATGGACAACCGAAAGGCAACAACCAAAACTACCACACTAAAGTGCACGATTCATGGTAGCATGACAAGAACCGAACTGCACTAGATCTTACGCCATCCAAGCTTGGAGTCCATGGTTGCAACGTGATCGCAAGATGCTTGAACGCCCACAAAGGATGACCACCAAGATGGTCAGGGGATTGCATTGCCTCATAAGTGAGGAGGGATTATGATCATTGAGACTATATTCTGTTCACTATCGCCGAATTCGGGGAGACTTGCTTTTGACGTATTAAATACCGCAGAACCCAGGCCATTCATGTAGGCAGCTGCTCACGTTATCGAACAATGTACACCTTGGGGGACACCGTTTCAAGTTACTGCTTCCAAAGCGTCGACTGGAATGCTGGCGGCAATCTTTTGCAGTCAGAGTATGCAGTACTTAGAACACCTTTCCCTCTCACGTCGTTTGTGCACCAACTATTGAATCTTTCAAGCGGAGGCTCGAGGAAACCTTGGGTACATCTCACATTCCTACACCATTAAAGCAAACGCGAATTCATTGAAGCCCACATTCTCTCTAATCTTCTACCTGAAACTGTATGATTTTTTTCAGCGTGAAACGATTCATTTATGTAAATATCCTATGGGGACAAGAGAAGTATGGGCTTGTTAGTAATTCCCATAGTAAAATCTTGAATTTGTACAACTTAAATAAAAAACCGCAGCAGAAAACAGTACATTGCAAACGTCGAATAACTTACCACCACAAATATTATTCCATGAAAATTGTAATCCGTTCGTTGTTTGATAGAAGCTCTTCAGATCAAGGGGTAACGTGACCATATTTTGTGTCTCCCACTCTTGACAGTCGTGCTCGGTAACCGGCTTTCTCGTCTCGAAAANCTGTATAAATCGGTTGATCCTAAGAGTACCGGATAACTCACTCAAAAAGTTTTTCAACTCGTTGAAAAATCCAACTACCATTCTTTTTGAATTGTCCGAAGATATATATCACAGTGAACGAAACAATCATATATATATATTGATTGATTGATTGTAAAGCTACTGGCGACGATCGAAACGATTACACAATTGACACTTGCTTCATTTTCTGTGAGTAAAGCAAATATATATGGGCTTGTGAGTTACCTTCACAAAACGTACTAATGTGATCTCATTNCATAACTTTATAAGGTATGAGTGCCACTTTACAATCTTCATATTTACTTTTTTGCTGCCGAAATAACCATGGGTTGTAAAAGCAAGAATAACAAATGGTTACCCGTTTCAGTGTACTTTCTTATCAGGTACTATTTCATCTTTTGTAGAAAGCTAGCACATAAATTATATTGGTTTCAACCGCACCCTTTTTTATTCTTCATTTTGACTCCACCCTAATGACTGCATTCGTGCATATCCTAAGAGAATTATCTTACAGATACATTCTTTTAAATGTTCCTCCTTCTTAAGCGCTGACCAACATTATTTTATTGTATTGTATTGTATTGAAGCTTTAGCGAGTTATATACAAGCTTTCAACCAAAAATAGACCACCGTTACAATGCTGATAAAAAGAGGTGAAAAAGTGGGACGTGAAAAGTACAAAGATATAAGTTAATTTCCAAGTGCATTAGAGAGCTCAGAACGAATACTTTCCTTGTCGGTCAGTATCCAGGCCAGATAGGGCACCAATGAGTTTCTGTATGCAAATATGCGAGACCGGATAAATTTGTACTTAGAACAGGTGGATGGGTGGGATTTACATGCACACAAGTCAATGTGTAGAGGATGGGTGTATTCAAATAGGATATCATCAGCAAACTTCAAGTTCACATCAATATGGGTATTACACACATTGCCAATCAGAACAGATAATGGAACTTGGGAGACACGGTTGGTCCTTAAGAGGCCACGCCTCAGCAACTTGAAAGGGGTGTAGGGAGAAGACATTGTTGAACGAACGCGTCTATCACTGACAAGTCAGAACAGAAGTGGTGCAGCCTTCTTATTTGAAAAGATGGGACCTTCAACTTGCGAGCAACAGTTTAGGTATGTAAGGACCAACGAAGGTTACCTTCAAGTGTGATACCTAAGTACTTCATATGGCTAACCCTGCTCACCGGCTCTCCATGAATTTGTACATTGTCGGAGGGAGATGGGGAACGGTTTAGAGTAAAAATACATTCAAGACAATTTTTAGGATTAAAATTAAGATCGGAAGAAGTAGAATGTGAAACGAGGTTGGATAGGTTTGTGTTATATTCAAATAGTTCTGATTGCGTAGATGCGGAAACAGAAATGGCGATATCATCCGCATACTTAAAATGTTGAACAGGAGGAGTAATGAGTAAGTCACTGATATTAGTCTAAAACAGATAGGGTGATAGGACAGCACCTTGAAGTACATCCAAACTATTAAGTGATGCGGTTGACTGTCTTCTTCTCAATTTAACATATTGATATCTTTGCGAAAATCAATCAGCAAGCCATTCAAGAAGATAAGAGGTACAGCCAAAGGATCGGAGCTTGTTAAATAAAAGAGAACGAGGTACCGAGTCAAGATCGGAAGAATGGTCAAAAATGCACAGTGCACATATTTGGCCTTCTAGTTAAGGGACTTACAGATGAAATGAACTAGAGAAGAAACGGCATCTAATGTAGAGCGGTTACGTTTGTATATAAACTGACAAGCATCATCGCGGGTGGAAAGGGATAACTGAAGACGGTGCAGAACTGATCGCTCCATGAATTTCAAACCAGTGAAGGTGAGAGCAATTAGTCTGAAACGATTCGCTATTGGGGTCTTTGACATTCGTTTGGGGATGGAAGTAATTCTCACTGGGCGTTGGAAATCAGGAATAGTTCGGAGTTAGAGTGAAAGATTAGCTATGTGTACAAAAATGTGCGACAGTGGCAGAGCACCGTGTTTAAAAAGGGTAGGACTTAAGTCGTCTGGACCAGGTGCGGTCGACTCCTTGAGAGAACACCTGTTTATACATTTCACTAGAGGCGGTGGAATCAAACGAAGATTGGATGTTTGGAGAACTGGAGAATGAATATAACTAGGGTGTGTCGGGCGAAACATGAACAAATACAGCATTCAGTTTTCCAGTAATAATAAAGAGACTGGAAATCACATTCCTGGTAAATATCATCCTCAGGACCTTTATCCATTCCAGGGGCCGAACTAATCGAGTTTCAGCAGTGTAACCTTCATCATGATAATATCGCTTTAGTGAACAAATGTTCATCAGTGACTTAAGTCACTTAAACTTGTGACTGATTTTTCGTCTCTGTACTTCCCTCAGTGACTTAGCGTCACATATCTTTCTGAACCATGTTTTTGATAAGTGCTGTACTGTTTCCACTTTATTTCTACATCACAGTAGAATAGAAACCTATTTTCCCAAACGTCTTCGTAGAGACATGAAAGGAGAAAATCGAATGTGATAGCGTGATCTAAGTCAAACCAGTAATTGACTTCATGCAATACGAATTAAACAATCTGGATTCTTTCTATACATCAAAAAGCGTGAACTTATATGTGGCATGGGGAGCAGGCTAATTGACCAGCAGAAAACAGAGCCTCTGTTACTTTTTGCTGAGTTCTCGCTACATTTATTGCTCGTTTAGACCAATTTCTCCCGGTGAACGTTTGTCTTCTCAAAATATGGTATCTGCAGCCGATCCAGATAATCTTGGTCCCACACTTTCTAAACATGATACAGCATTATTCTCACACATTGTTGCACTCATATCTATTCCTCCCGATAAACAATGAATCATTTTGGAATGTTGATGCTCGGTAAGGATAACGCCCGTTATTCCCCGAAGCCACAACAAGAGTTCCGATTGCAGGCCAAACGCTCTCAAACTTGCCAATTTCAATTGATGAGGCGATTTGTTCTTTAATATGTTTAGCCATTGCTCACCACTACAGGTGACATGCTACCACTTTGTAAGCTTATGTGATTTACGAGACTCGGGATAATAGACCCAAAGTTTGAATATTGCGTTTTGCATGACTGCTCAAATTTTGAATCCTGCTGAGCAGGTTGCAATCTCTCAAACATCTTGAAAGATTGAGAGATATCCGTATGATAAATTAGGAACAAATACAGTAAGCCTTGTCACTCATTATTTAGAATGTGCTAACAGGTACTGTCTTATTATCCTAGGCCTTGCCAACATATAATATTGGCTTACTCCGCTGTCAAATAAATCATGAACTCTTATCTCTGTCACAAAAACGTTTTGTGCCGTAATTTTTCAATCACCTATTTTTACTATTCGTCACATGAAGTCTGTTGATAATGTCAATATTTCTACCCCTTCTACTATTTGGAACCTTTTTTGTCGGTGTATTATCTTTTGGACTGTAGCACAAATGCAATCAAACATATATTTTACCAAAATGTAAACAACCTGGTGAACAAAGCGAGGCTGGATGATATCTCGATTTTTGAAAGAGACATGAATCCTAGACAATGTCCGCTTTCTTCCAGGGAATGGCTTCTGGTCCCTACCGGACTAGATTTCTGTTGTACAGAAAACAGCGAACGGCTATCGGCCCTATGTTCTGACCACCGAATATTGGCAAACAGCACGAACTTCAGGAGTTCTGACTGCCAATACGCCAAATGGCATCCACACTCCTCGAGCTAATGACGGACGCAGATTGATCATACTGCCACAAGCCATGAATGGTGGAGTTTCATGGTTGATTGTCGATTATACAAGAACAATTCCCTCGGATGAAACCACACATTTATCTACAACAAGCTGTCCTTGTGCGTCATAGGGTGTTCACAACACGCAACACTGACGGTAAGACAGACAAATATTGTCTTGACCAGCATGCCTAAGCGTCTCTGAGAACGCCGGTATACCGGTATACCTTTAAAGTAGAAAAAAGCTAAATAAAGGGAAATATTAGGAGGGTGCCGGCGGGTACCGTCAGCCGCATCATCATGGAAAAACTCGTATCCATGGTGAAGGTGAGCACTCAAAGTCAGAGTTTAAGATCAATTCCGTTGTACCTCTTATAAACCTTGTAACTTATTGGATGCTTATTTTAATTCTACACTACAATCCAATCCTATCCAAATTTTCAGGATGTAGATGCCTCGGACCTATGGTTGTCCTGATTCTGGCTCCACCTCGTCAGTAGACTGATCGAGTTGTATGTTTGCCCGGCTTACAGCATGGTTGATAGTTTCGCGATTGTCTGAGGATGTCAGATTCGGATGTAGTAGTTGTCGCGCCTGTTTTCGGTAAGGCTGAAAAAGAAATGGAACAAATTGTATTCTCGCCGTGTTGGTGAGAGAATTACGTACACTTAGGCGTAAGCGTTCCTGCGTGTGCATGTTGTGCATGCGCACCACGTTATGTCAAGTGTGAGGGTAGGGAGAAGAAAAGGAGCTTATTTTCCTTATGTTTTAGGTCACTTCTGGAAAGGTATCGGTCCACACTCTATCTAATTCCATCTTAAAGGTTTGCACTGTGTTCAGTTGAACGAGTCTCCTCTTAGACGTCTCCTACGCATAGAGAAGAGGTTTATGTGCCAAAGCCGATCCTCGTAGGATAGCCCTTTGGTTTTAAGAACCATTCTGATGACTAACTTTGCACTTTTTATAATTTGTTTACGTCCATTACCCGGTAGGGAGTCCAAGCTTGGATGCAGTATTCAATGTGGGATCTGACGAGTGCCCTATACAGAGGGATGAAAACATCGGCTTCTCTGCTGGTTATTGCAGCTCTCAGTACAAACAGTGCTCTCTGGGTCTTGTGGGTTGCTTCGGCGCATTGTTCGCTGGGTGCAAAGCTGGCTGAGACTGTAATCCCAAGGTCTTTCACACACCTCTGTTGTTTCAGAGTGTGTGCTTCTTGAATTGGGGGTGTAAGCCGCAGGGAGGGTATAGGGGCATTTTTGCTTAAAACACAACATTTGGTTGCGTTCAACGGCAGATCCTACGTTACCATTC